ATTCTCTGCAAAACGAATCAGAATTGAGAGTTTGAGTATTTTACAAAATTCAAGTGAATATGACCTCATTTTGAATCGCCATTTTGAGCTAATTAACACATTTCAAATTTAAACGACTAAATTTTCCGAAATCAAAGTGATATATTAATTAGTGTTCTATTGGCATTTTACATAGTTGTACTACGCTCAGTAAGATATTCACAAATCCTTTCTCCTATGTAAACGACATTAAGAAATAATTTGAAAAAAATGAATATCCGCCATTTTGAATCGCCATTTTGACTTTTAACTTACAGCTGCACCATCATTTAGTTATAGAATAGTAAAATGCAGAGGAAACAATACAAATCTGCAGTGTATGGATATTTGCAAATGTAAAATCCTGAACAAAGATTAATATAGAAACAATAGACAAATAAATCAGAGAAAATTCGAATTAAGTGAGATATTCACTAATTCCTTCTCCATTTTGAACGACATTAAGAGAAAATTAGAAAAAAAATTGATGTCCGCCATTTTGAATCGCCATTTTGACCTCTTTAACGCCATTTTCATGAAGGCCAGCATATTTTTTGAGGTATAATATGAATACATTTTTGTATCTCGTAACCAGCCTCTATAACCAGGCAGAGCGCATGCGCGCAACAAATTTACATCGAGTTCGGAAAACAGAAAAGAGGAAATTCGGAATCAATGTTTGGGACATCGATCACGTCCATCGCCTTATCATTAATTAAGCTATTAATGCATAATAGAATAAACTTAGGCCTCCACATATCAGAAAATATTGCAGAAATGTAAGTAAATCAACTTTAAAGTTAAATCTGAAGCCCATCTATCAAAGGATACTAAAAGAAAGTCTTGTACACGTATTGTTACTGTTTCAGTGATTTTATCTCACATCTATATATTGAAAAGTGATATTATTAATTGATTATGAAGATGAAGATACAAGTAATAACAATTATTATGAAACCTTTAAATTCTGTGACAATAAGCTAGCTGAAAACACCCTGGTTTACTCAACATTTTTTTGATGATTTAATTGCATGGTTCTGTATGCTACACAAGTGGTAAAAGTTAAATTTTGTTTTTTTTGTGATATTACCAAAAAAGTGATATTATCTGGCATCAATATCACTGAATAGAATAAATATCATTCCATTAATCCAATGAACCCAAACTCTGTCATAATTATATTGAATACCACATAAGAGAAACTGTGCATTGTTACAATGTGAAATGTAATAACAATACGAAAAATGAAAACAGGATTTTTTAATTATTACATTTTGCGTTGTAACATTTTGCATCAAGATTAAGCAAAAGGCAAGAACGCAAAATCATCAGGGTTTGTATATACCCATCACCTGGGTCTATATACCCAAAACCAGGGCCTGTATACATATGTGTACTTATCACTAGGGTATGTATTAACCATCACCAGGGTGTGTATACCTGTCACCAATGTCTGCATACCTATCACCAAGGTCTGTATTAACCATCACCATGGTCCATAATCCCATAATTAAGGTCTGAATACATATCACCAGGATCTGTATACCCATCTCTAGGGTCTATATACCCAAAACCAGGGTCTGTATACCCATTACCAGGGAAAGGATTAACCATCACCAGAGTGTATTCCTATCACCTGGGTCTGTATACCCAGCACCAGGATCTTTATACCTATAACCACGGAATATATACATATCACCAGGGTCTAAATACCCATCACCAGGTCTGTAATACTAATCACCAGGGTCTGTATACCCATCACCAGGGTTTGTATACCCATAACCAGGGTCTATATACCCATCACCAGGGTCTATATACCCATAGCCAGGGTCTATATACCCATCACCAGGGTCTGCATACCCATCACCAGGGTCTGTATACCTATCACCAGGGTCTATATACCCAGCACCAGGATCTTTATACCTATAACCAGGGAATATATACCGATTACCAGGGTCTAAATACACATCACTGGGGACTGCATTATCTATCACCAGAGTCATTATACCTATCACCAGGGTCTGTATACCCATCACCAGAGTCTGTATTATCTATTACCAGGATCTATATACCCATCATCAGGGTTCCTATACCCATCACCAGGGTCTGTATACCAATCACCAGGGTCTGTATACCCATCACCAGCATCTATATACCCATCACCAGGGTCTGTATACCCATCATCAGGGTCTATATACCCATCACCAGGGTCTGTATACTCATCACCAGGGTCTGTATACCTATCACCAGGGTCTATATACCCAGCACCAGGATCTTTATACCTATAACCAGGGAATATATACCGATTACCAGGGTCTAAATACACATCACTGGGGACTGCATTATCTATCACCAGGGTCTGTATACCCATCACCAGGGTCTGTATACCCATCACCAGGGTCTATAAACCCATCACCAGGGTCTGTATACCAATCACCAGGGTCTGTATACCCATCACCAGGGTCTATAAACCCATCACCAGGGTCTGTATACCAATCACCAGGGTCTGTAATATCCATCACCAGGGTCTGTAATATTCATCACCAGGGTCTATATACCCATCACCAGGGTCTATAAACTCATCACCAGGGTCTGTATACCAATCACCAGGGTTTGTATATCCATCAACAGGGTCTGTATACCAATCACCAGGGTCTGTATACCCATCACCAGGGTCTATATACCCATCACCAGGGTCTGTATACCCATCACCAGGGTCTGTATTACCCATCACCAGGGTCTGTATACCCATCACCAGGGTCTATAAACCCATCACCAGGATCTGTATACCAATCACCAGGGTCTGTATACCCATCACCAGGGTCTATATACCCATCACCAGGGTCTATATACCAATCACCAGGGTCTGTATACCCATCACCAGGGTTTATATACCCATCACCAGGGTCTATATACCCATCACCAGGGTCTGTATTATCTATCACCAGGGTCTGTATGCCCATCACCTGGTTATGTATACCCAACACCAGTGTTTATATACCTATCAACAGGCTCGGTGATACCCATCACCAGGGTCTTAAGGCTGAATAATGATACGGTAGATTATCTATTAACACACACACACACACATATATATATATATATATATATATATATATATGACCTCTTTACAGTGCCACTGGTTTCTCCCTTACTTCCCTCTGATGTCTGCCAAATCCATAAGAAAGGAAGCTGTTTAAGGTAAAACAATATCAAACAAATCAAAGTGCATTCTGAAATTTAAATGTTACGAAAACAATTAAAAACTTTACATTTATTATTTTATGAAATTAACTTCTTCCAAGAAGTTGTTAAAATTATATTTCTTTTTTTTCTTTTAAGATTAGACACAACTTTGGTTGACTTCAATGACATGAGATAGGAGAGAGGGGACATAACTTTTGTTTTTGATGGGGATGCCCCCTATAATGAAGGATTAATTGTTCTGGACAACAAATTACGTGTATATCAAAAATTCAGATCACAGGTAATGTATTCTAACAAGAAAAATAAATACCTATAACCAGGGAATGTATACCCATCACCAGGGTCTATATACCCATCATCAGGGTCTGAATACCCAACACCAGGGTCTATTTACCCATCACAAATGTCTGTATACCCATCACCAGGGTCTATTTACCCATCACAAGGGTCTATATACCAAACATCAGGGTCTATTTACCATCACAAGGGACTGTGTACCCATCACAAGGGTCTGTAATATCCATCACCAGAGTCTGTATAACCATCACCAGGGTCTATATACCCATCACCAGGGTCTATATTATCTATCACAAGGGTCTGTATACCCATCACTAGGGTCTGCATACCAATCACCAGGGTTTATATACCCATCACCAGGGTCTACATACCCATCATCAGGGCTTATATACCCACCACCAGGGTCTGTAATATCCATCACCAGGGTTTGTATACCCATCACCAGGTTCTGTAATATCTATCACCAGGGTCTGTAATATCCACCACCAGGGTCTGTATACCCACCACCAGGTTGTGTATACCCATCACCAGGGTCTGTATACCCCTCACCAGGGTCTGTATACCCATCACCAGGGTCTATATACTCATTACCAGGGTCTATATACTCATCACAAGGGTCTGTATACCCATCACCAGGGTCTGTATACCCATCACCAGGGTCCATGTTGTCTATCACCAGGGTGTAAATACCCATCACCAGGGTCTGTATACCCATCACCAGGGTCTATATACCCATCACCAGGGTTTATATACCCATCACCAGGGTCTATATACTCATCACCAGGGTCTATATACCCATCACCAGGGTCTGTATACCCATCACCAGGATCTTTATACCCATCACCAGCGTCTGTATACCCATCACCAGGGTCTCTATACCCATCACCAGGGTCTATATACCCATCACCAGGGTCTGTTTACCCACCACCAAGGTCTATATACCAATCACAAGGGTCTGTATACCCATCACCAGGGTCTGTATACCCATCACCAGGGTCTATATACCCATCGCCAGGGTCTGTATACCCATCACAAGGGTCTGTATATCCACCAACAGCGTCTGTATACCCATCACCAGGTTATGTATACCCAACACCAGGGTTTATATACCTATCAACAGGCTCTGTGATACCCATCACCAGGATCTTAAATATTATCTGCTGTAACTGAGTTTTTTAGAGGAATTCTGCAATTTATACAGGCTGAATAATACGGTAGATTATCTATTAACACACACACACATATATATATATATATGATCTCTTTACAGTGCCACTGGTTTCTCGCATACTTCCCTCTGATTCTGCCAAATCCATAAGAAAGGAAGTTGTTTAAGGTAAAACAATATCAAACAAATCAAAGTGCATTCTGAAATTTAAATGTTACGAAAACAATTAAATACTTTACATTTATTATTTTATGAATTTAACTTCTTCAAAGAAGTTTTTAAAATTATATTTCTTTTTTTTTCTTTTAAGATTAGACACAACTTTGGTTGACTTCAATGACATGAGATAGGAGAGAGGGGACATAACTTTTGTTTTTGATGGGGATGCCCCCTATAATGAAGGATTAACGGTTCTGGACAACAAATTACGTGTATATCAAAAAATCAGATCACAGGTAATGTATTCTAACAAGAGAAATAAATACCTATAACCAGGGAATGTATACCCTTCACCAGGATTTATATACCCATCATCAGGGTCTGTATACCAAACACCAGGGTCTATTTACCATCACAAGGGTCTGTGTATCCATCACTATTGTCTGTAACACCCATCACCAGGGTCTGTATACCCATCACCAGGGTCTGTATACCAATCACCAGTGTCCATATAATCTATCACCAGGGTCTGTATACCCATCACCAGGGTCTGTAATACCTATCACCAGGGTCTGTATACCCATCACAAGGGTCTGTATACCCATCACAAGATCCAATACCCATCGCCAGGGTCTGTTTACCCATTACCAGGGTGTATATACTTATCACCAGGGTCTATTTACTCATCACCAGGGTCTGTATACCCATCAGCAGGTTCTGTAATATCCATCACCAGGGTCTGTATACACATCACCAGGGTCTATATACCCATCACTATGGTCTGTGTACCAATCACCAGGGTTTATATACCCATCACCAGGGTCTATATACCCATCACCAGGGTCTGTATACCCATCACCAGGGTCTATTAACCCATCACAAGGGTCTTTATACCCATCACCAGGGTCTATAAACCCATCACCAGGGTCTGTATACCAATCACCAGGGTCTGTATACCCATCACCAGGGTCTATAAACCCATCACAAGGGTCTGTATACCCATCACAAGATCCAATACCCATCACCAGGGTCTGTATACCCATCACCAGCGTCTATATACCCATCACCAGGTTATGTATACCCAACACCAGGGTTTATATACCTATCAACAGGCTATGTGATACCCATCACCAGGATCTTAAATATTATATGCTGGAACTGAGTTTTATAGAGGAATTCTGCAATTTATACAAGCTGAATAATGATATGGTAGATTATGTATTAACACACACACACACATATATATATATATATGACCTCTTTACAGTGCCACTGGTTTCTCGCATACTTCCCTCTGATGTCTGCCAAATCCATAAAAAAGGGAGTTGTTTAAGGTAAAACAATATCAAACAAATCAAAGTGCATTCTGAAATTTAAATGTTACAAAAACAATTAAAAACTTTACTTTTATCTTATGAAATTAACTTCTTCCAAGAAGTTTTTAAAATTATATTTCTTTTTTTTTCTTTTAAGATTAGACACAACTTTGGTTGACTTCAATGACATGAGATAGGAGAGAGGGGACATAACTTTTGTTTTTGATGGGGATGCCCCCTATAATGAAGGATTAACGGTTCTGGACAACAAATTACGTGTATATCAAAAAATCAGATCACAGGTAATGTATTCTAACAAGGAAAATAAATACCTATAACCAGGGAATGTATACCCTTCACCAGGGTCTATATACCCATCATCAGGGTCTGTATACCCAACACCAGGGTCTATTTACCCATCACAAATGTCTGTATACCCATCACAAGGGTCTGTATACACAGCACCAGGGTCTATATACCCATCATCAGGGTCTGTATACCGAACACCAGGGTCTATTTACCCATCAAAAGGGTCTGTGTACCCATCACAAGGGTCTGTATACCCATCACCAGGGTCTGTATACCCATCACCAGGTTATGTATACCCAACACCAGGGTCTGTATACCCATCACCAGGTTATGTATACCCATCACCAGGTTGTGTATACCCATCACCAGGGTCTATATACCCATCACCAGGGTCTGTATACCCATCACCAGGGTCTGTATATCCACCAACAGCGTCTGTATACCCATCACCAGGTTATGTATACCCAACACCAGGGTTTATATACCTATCAACAGGCTCTGTGATACCCATCACCAGGATCTTAAATATTATCTGCTGTAACTGAGTGTTAAGAGGAATTCTGTAATTTATACAGGCTGAATAATGATACTGTAGATAATCTAATTCTTTATATATATATGACCTCTTTACAGTGCCACTGGTTTCTCGGATACTTCCCTCTGATGTCTGCAAAATCCATAAAAAAGGGAGTTGTTTAAGGTAAAACAATATCAAACAAATCAAAGTGCATTCTGAAATTTAAATGTTACAAAAACAATTAAAAACTTTACTTTTATGTTATGAAATTAACTTCTTCCAAGAAGTTTTTAAAATTATAATTCTTTTCTTCTTTTCAGACTGGACACAACTTTGGTTGACTTCAATGACATGAGATGGGAGAGAGGGGACATAACTTTTGTTTTTGATGGGGATGCCCCCTCTAATGAAGGACTAACTGTTCTGGACAACAAATTACATGTATATCAAAAAATCAGGTCACAGGTAATATATTCTAACAAGGAAAATAAATACCTATAACCAGGGAATGTATACCCTTCACCAGGGTCTATATACCCATCATCAGGGTCTGTATACCCAACACCAGGGTCTATTTACCCATCACAAATGTCTGTATACCCATCACCAGGGTCTATTTACCCATCACAAGGGTCTGTATACACAACACCAGGGTCTATATACCCATCACCAGAGTCTGTATTATCTATTACCAGGGTCTATATACCCATCATCAGGGTTCCTATACCCATCACCAGGGTCTGTATACCAATCACCAGGGTCTGTATACCCATCACCAGCATCTATATACCCATCATCAGGGTCTGTAATATCCATCACCAGGGTCTATATACCCATCACCAGGGTCTGTATACCCATTACCAGGGTCTGTATACCCATCACCAGGGTCTGTATATCCATCACCAGGGTCTGTATACCCATCACAAGGGTCTGTAATATCCATCACCAGGGTCTATATACCCATCACCAGGGTCTGTATACCCATCACAAGGGTCTAAATATCCATCACCAGGGTCTCTATACTTATCACTAGGGCATGTATACCCATCACCAGGGTCTATATGCCCATCACCAGGGTCTGTTATACCCATCAGCAGGATGTATATACTAATCACCAGGGTCTGTAAACATATCTCCAGGGTATGTTTACCCATCAACAGGGTCTATATACCCATCACCAGGGTCTATATACCCATCACTAGGGTCTTTAATAACGATCACCAGGGTCTGTATGCCAATCACCAGGGTCTTTATAGCCCTCCACAGAGTTTGTATTCCTATCACCAGGGTCTGTATACCTATCACCAGGCCTGGGGGCCATAAAACTTAGATGAGCTCACTTTTGATCTCAGTCTCACTTTTACCAAAGGGGTATATAGTGGAAAAGTGAGAATGTAATCAAAAGTGAGCTTGTCTAAGTTTTATGGCCCTCAGGCCAGGGTCTATATTAACCATAACCAGGGTCTATATACCCATCACCAGGGTCTGTATTCCCATCACCAGGGTCTATATACCCATCACCAGGGTCTATTTACCCATCTCCAGGGTCTGTATAACCATCATCAGGGTATATATTAACTATTACCAGTGTCTATATACCCATCACCAGGGTCTGTATACCCATCACCACTAAGTATCTTAGGTATTTATCGGCTTAGAATTATAAAACTCTGTCAGTTGATCCATTTTGTGTTTACCAAGAATGAAGACTAAAAAGTAGTCCTAATTGGCTAAGAATCATCAAACTTTGTCAGGTGATGCAACCTGGGTTCGAATACTTAGGGTTAGAGGCTTCAAATACAAGTGATAGGTTGTATAATTTATCAGAAGAGCGATTCAAGGCCCTTGGGCCTCTTTTTTTTTTTTTTTTGCATTGAAATGTTTGGGCAATTGCTATTTTAAACAACATAACACCTTGTAAGCGAGTTATGTAAATTTTTTTTGCAATAGCTGCGACCATTAATTCCAGTATGTTATAACAAACAAAGAGAGACATTTTATTGATTAAATTTATATCTGCTTGAATAAACAATTTAAGTAGGATTAAAAAGATTAATTATTGTATTAATGATGTGAATGTCATTGAAGTTTCATTAACGGGACAGCCACTGATCAAGAAATCTGTACAGGCAACATGCCTAATGTAGTTCATGCAGTGATGAACGCATTGGATTTTCTTAATAAATAAAGGAGAAAATATTCAGTGGATGTAAATATAGTATATTTAGGGAAAATGCAGATTTTTGACCTAACTTTGGGGAATGTGAAATAATTTAGAAATGCACATGATCTAAAGTATTTTTTAATGATAATTTTAGTGCTGACTTGAGAATACAGGAAGTGCATGGATCAACTGGACCACAAAAAGGTCAGTATCTTGAATAGTTCATAAAATAACAATAATATAGAAAAAAAAACACTTATTAACTGTGCACTTGATAATGAAAAAATCATTTCAAGTTATTTGAAAAAATTATTTAACTGACACGTCATTTTATTTACATTCCAGTATAAGTTATGAATAGTAAATGTTGATTATAAATGTAAGCATGGATAACACAATAGTTGTTCTTGGAAAAACCACGAATTCAAATGTTCATTGAATTAAGAAAAAAGATATTTATTTGTATGGGCAATCTTTTGTTCCCTAAATTACATATCCTCAAAAACTTATATTTTACAAAATCCAAGAAAACAGATGAAGCCGCGGTATTAAGCAATATTATTGCACTGATTGTTGTTACTTAATCTCTTAAGATAAATGTCGTAAGCAACAAATAAATAAAAGTATTTCTGTAGAAGCAAGATAATATGAATTTCATTATAAAAATATTTTATCAAATCTTTTGATTTTCCTTCAGAAAAGACAAAGGGTTTCAAACTTTGCAGATCCTTACTCTTTGCATGGTCAGGAGAAGTATCCAGTATGTCAAATGCCCAAGAAATCAAAAGTTGCTACTACTGGTACAAAGACAGAATCCAAGAAATCAGAGAAAGAAAAGAAAGAAAATTGCTACAAAGAAAGGGTAAAACTATCTGTGGCTATACAATTATGATAAATATTTATAAAAATAATGTTCTTTTTCAATTTAATGGAGATCAGCATTGATGGAAGGAAACCAACTGTCATTGATTTCAAAAAAAAAAATTTACCAATGTTACCCATAAATTATATTTGCTCTGTATCTATAAAATATAAAAAAATTGCACACCAATTAAATTCCCATAAAGCAATAAAATATTGCGCACTAACAAGAAAATAAAGATCATTGGTTACAAAAGTAGCATATTTTAAACATTAATAAATACTTTGTTTAATGGGATCTGTTGGATTTGCATACTTATTGAGATATATCTTTTGTAAATAGGATGTATCAGAATCTGGATGTTCTGCCCCCTCCAGTGCCAATGCACACCATAGTGAATGGCAGGTGGAACCATCAATTGATGAGTATGAGGCTTATAAAGCAATCTTATACCAGTGTAGTGCATATGCTGCCCTAAATGAAAAACTCTCAGCTTTTGCCATGTTGGATTATGATTTTGCTCACAACATCTTAAAGGTATTGCAAATATTACCTATCATTATTAATAAATAAGGTATAAATCTAAATTATTCCCTTTATTTTAAACTTGATATTTTACCTGTTTACTATTTAACTACAAACATGATGAATGGAATGTTTCTTTGCTGTATTAATCATTTATACAGGATTTTTATAAACAAACCTTATTTTTACTGATTTCAGAAAACTAGTCCTTGTTTAGTTTTCAGACAGGGGGAACACTTTTTGTGCACCTGTGATAACCTTAGAAGATCCTATATCGAAAATGTAGGAAACTGTTCTGTGGAAGGTAAATTTATTATACATGTATATTTTAAACACCTATGGAATTAAATTAACAGATAAAATTAACACATTTTGACCACATTTGAATTTTATTAATCAAAGCACTTTATGGAAGCAGGTTTATCCTAGGCCAATTAATGTCTGAGTTTTTTACAACAAAAACCCTTAAATGATCACATGTTCTAAACATAGAAATTTCTGCATCATAGTTCTTATATCATTTGGGTCCTTTGGATGAGACCTATTAAACGGAGGCCTTGTGTCAGCGGCAGGTGTTAAATTGGCACGATAAAGATCCCTCATTGTTCAATGGCCATGAGTCTCGGGTAAAGGTCAAAATTTGAAGCCCTTCATCGGCATATGTTGAGGTCTCCATATGTGTGAAAAATTCTCCAGAGGGACATTAAACAATATACATGCATGTAGCAGCAATAAATGTTTAGTATTCTTAAGTAATTATTGCAAACATTTACCCAAAACATTATTTTGTTTTATATTCCATTTATTTCTACATGTAGAATCCAGCACTTACCACAAGCCATGTTATCACAGCAGCATAGTGAAAGAGTTGTATGAGATGTATATATATTCAAACAGTATTGATTTAGGTCTGTATAAATGGAATAGTTAAAATTTTGATACAATGTTTTTCACAATGATTTTTTTTTTCGGATTCCTTCTTCTAGAGGGAATATTTATACATGTAGATATATAAAGAAAATTTATTATATTTTAGACCATGATTATTCCTCCATGGAAAGAAAAGAAGAAGAAGAGGTAATGAATTTTTATACATTTCTTTTATAGTAAACTTCTTTGGTAATCTTCTTTTCCTCCTTGATGACAAATAATCTAAAGTATAATTTCTAACATCAAATATTTGTGATTTAATTGTATTACAAAAATTTTAAATAGCAATTCTAAGAAAGATCCTTTGCATGCAAAGAAAAAAAATTAAATAGCAACCTTATGTTTGATATTTGAAGGTTTATCCAAAGATTAGATTTAATACATAAGATTAAATCAATTTATCTAACATTCTGGAATACATTTATTTATTTAGCTTGGTCTATCAGAAGTTTGTGAAATTGGCTTCATGGAGGATGTGTATGCTGTGCATTCTGCCAATCTGTATGGCCTTGTTAAAGTTTCATTTGGTAACATGAAGTGTCTCACCTGCCATGTGAAATGTTCCCATCCTTCACAGTTAAAGAAAATTTTGAAAAAGTTCGGAAATGACTGTCCAGACATAATCGAAAAAATTTATACAAGACTTAGTAAAGACTATTACAGTTATGAGCTGCAGTGCCAGTCACTGCAGAAAATTTCCTTTGACTTGCCTCTGCACTTGAGATCAAGAATTCAACAAATAATTGATGCCGAGTTTAAAGCAGTCAATGCTATCAGTGACTGTCCCGTGTGCAATTCTTCATTAAAGGAGGAAGGAGACCAATCTACTCAGGAATGCCTATTCTTGTCAAATTACAAAATGTTAAAGGTCGAATGTAAGTTATATTCCACTAAATTTAAATTTGATGTTTCATTAAATTTTTTTAAATGGATTAAGTTTATGTAATTCTTTTTTCTTATGTAAATTGACTCCAAAATAATACTTTAAAGATTAAATGAGAATACAGTTAACTTCTTCATCTTAATATTATTGATATAAAAGTAGATGATTGTACCTCTACATATAAAAACTTAGGTTTTAAATTTATAAATATTGTTCTCCATGTGATGGATTTCAAGAGAGAAATAGTAAACAAAATTGTTATTTTTGTTTAAGGCTACAATAAAGTATGCAGTAATGTCCAATGTGGCCATATCAGTCGCTACGATGGACAGGATGACTGTATACTAAATATGGGGAAGTTCCTTGTCCATTATGAGGTTCTTAGAAATTACATGTACCTGTTCTTGTATTCAGGGTAAGCATTTTAGAGAGAGAGCAAGAAAGAGAGAGAAAGAGAATTGAATCTTTTGACAAATATAGAGAGTTCCCGTTAAACTTATTTTTATAGATACATGTTTTAGCCTTTCTGCTTAGAGCAAAATTCAAAACCTAGGAAAGGGTTTTTTTGAAGGAGAAAGAGGGAAAATACAAATTTTGAGGGAAGGATTATGTAGAATATATGATGAAATGGTCAGGGGCAGAGCTTTCATAGAGGAATGAAGCAACTGCCTCAATAGATTTTTCAGCAACACCCCAAACCTATAATTAATGATATGTAGCAGAAAATATTTTATTTCTTTTTAAGTTGAATGATTTTGTAAAATTTTAAACAAATTTATAAAAAGACAGTGTTGTCCTTTCATATCACTAGGTTTTGCAGGGGGCATGACTTCTGTGCCTTTATAAAATTTTTAAAAATGTTTTTAAAAGGCATTAGGTTTAAAAACAAATTAAGATTTTCTGCCATGTTTTATTAATTATAGGCTTGAGGTGCTGCTGAAAAATCTAGTTTTACCAAGCTTAGAGAGTTATCTCTCTTAGTGTCTTCCAAATAAGTTTTTTATGGAAATTCACAAAAAATATCTTTATAAATATGAAGTAAAAAGTTAAATATCTGTAATTTTAAAAATGGTCTTAGAGGTAGATGTAAGAACAATCATTAGACAATTGATCACAGCCCATTGTAGAGTTAATCATACTCTTGAACAAAAATTGAAAGTTGGTGGGTTAGCATTGTTTAAAAAGATTTGTGCTTGTCTATTTCAGGTGTACTATGTACTCTTTCTATAACACCTGGAAAGCACATCAGAGAGATGTTGGGAATTATTCTTTCTCAGAAAAATTCCCATATTCATGCTTTCGATGGACTTGGTATTCGTTCTTACATCTTCTCGATATAGACACAAAAGAGACCTTTTACTGTGACGAGGCAGGTTGTGGTATGCATCCAAGAATACTGCTGTTTGATGGTACTACTCTTTCCTTTCAAAGGAGTTTCCTGCATCATGTAGAGATGCCAAATGATGGAAATTCTGCGACTAATATAGTGAAAGGAAGATAAGTAATTATAGTAGATACATGTACTATATATAATATTCCTTGTAAAGAAAGCCAGGTTCTTGATTAAACATTATGTCAGTATCATTAACAAATTTATGATAAATTGATCAAGCTTATATATTCAATTGTCTTTAGCTATTAGGCATCCTGAAGTTTGTGTGGAAGTGTCTCGGGGTAGTGTATATACTAATTGTTCAAATCATAACCCCTGGAGGAAGGGCGGGGTCAGAATAGGGAATCCAAGGTGTACATTGAAATATATAGGAAAAATCTTCTCAAAACCCACTGCGTATTCTAGGATGCATACCACAACCTGCCTCGTCACAGTAAAAGGTCTCTTTTGTGTCTATATCAAGAAGATGTAAGAAGGAATACCAAGTCCATCGAATATGGGAATTTTTCTGACAAAGAATAATTCCCATCATCTCTCTGATGTGCTTTCCAGGTATTATAGAAGCAGGATCATGTGGAAGCATCCTGGGGCAGTATATTAAAAATTGTTCAAATCATGATCCCTTGGGGTAGGTTGTAGCCTTATTAGGTTTTACAGTTTGAAAATCTGTAGAAGAACAGTATGCCCAAAGTGACTTAAGGGAGCAAAGTGGCCAATGGGCCTCTTATTCATGGTACATTGTTCTTTCCTAATTTCTATCCAAATATATTAATTTGGTTTTTTCCTTTTAACACTAGTCACAAGGACAGAGTTTTTCTGGTGAATGTTAAAGCAAGGAACCTATTAAAGAATTTTGCAACTGCCAAGTCCATTAACCACCATGAATTTGCAGAAATGAAGGAATTGATCAAAGAACACCAGCCATCATTGGTGCAATTATTAGATCATTTGGAAGAAATTGGTAGGTCTATCTATGGTAAGAAAAAGATTTAAGGCAAATAAAGGAATGTATTTAGAATTCTGCAAAATTTAGAAAATTATTCAAAATATGTAATCTAGGACAATTTATTGATCTTTAAGAGAATTATGATGTGTTCTTTTTTTTTTTATTTATTAAGTTTTTTTCTCAAGGTTGTACAACGAGCTGCCCAGAGGAGTTGCGAGGCCTGCTCCTTTCACTCTCATGCAATTCTGCAGTTTGTGCCACATTTCATAGGCAGGATTTAGGATTGCTGCAGGAGCTCATGAAGGAAAAGTTAGGTCCTGATAAGAAGTTTCAATTACAGATGAATATTCCAACTCTGTTTGAACTTTTATCACCTTTGGATGATATTCCAAGATATTTAATACCTGTACTCAAGGAGATAATTTCCATTGTTGAAAGGACCTTCTCACAACCTATTTGTGACATTGAACTGATGGAGAATCATGACCACACTCATAATCTCAGTTTCTTCCCAAATCTACCCAAAGTTAGAGAAAGAGGAGTTTATGCAATGGACAAAGCTAAGGGAGATATTCTTTGCACAAAGAAATTCAGTCATCATTCTTCTTTGTTACCAGGGATTTTTACTGTATTTTGTCCACATGGTAAGTCTACTAAATATATTATCTTCATGTTGATACTTTAATTTATAAGGGTTTTTTGTTCAAAAGCATTAAACAATACCTTTATACTAAAAGATATTGGCATTTGTAGCCAGTTTAATTGCTAAGTTAATGGGAAAAAAATATGATACTGATTTTTTCATTTTTGGTAATTAAGATGTGTTTAAGTTATATGTACTGTGCATCATTTTCAGGCATCTGTTATGGATTCGAGGTCATGGAGTGTGCAGAATCCCCCAACAGGCCATTTTCCCTGTTAAAAACAAGATTTGAAGGTGTGTGTGTAGATTGAAAATTATACAGACTATATAATCTTCAAGAAAATTCTATTGGTTTGAATATGTGTATTAACTGAAATTGTCTGTAGGTGTAGGTTATAGCTAAATTTTGAAGAAAAAAAAATTAACACTTTGTATTATTGATTGGTTGAGATCAAAATTGCATTCAGAGTTCATTTTAGGTCACCTGAGTTACTTACTAGGTAAACTTTTTTTTGTCCATTGATGTCCGTCTTTTTTTTTAACTTTTGAACATTTTCAGATTTTTTTTTATCCATTGTCAACTATTTAAATCAAATTTAACATTATGGCCATGTGTCAAGGATGAAAACCCCCTTGACACGTAAAAGATAGTTTTTTTGGAGCTCACTCACGAAGAGTAGACTCACTGGGGACCACCAGGGAAACTACAAACTTTCAAAAACTGGTCAAAAAACAAAATTATCTGCTGAAATATGGCTGAAATATTGCTGAAATCAACATTTAACAATATACAATCAATCAACATATATGGTATCTATATGTCTGAGGGGTAGGACTAAAATAATATGTATGAAATATTAATGTAATCTTAGGAAACATTTTTATTTACTCCAGTAGATCAAGCAGTCAAACTATTGGCGTGGCATTAATAAGCATTAAATCCACAAACCAAATCAAAATGTTTGAAACTTCCTTTAGACAACATATATCTGTAAACTAGTAGTTATAGAAAGGGGGTATACTGTTTTACTCTTGTGTGTCTGTCCATCTGTCTATAGCTGTGTGTCCGTGCAATAAAAGAAAAAAAATTGCTCACAGTTTTCTCAGCAATTACTTATTACAGAAGCTTGAAATTTTAGCATACTCTTTGTTAAGGTTCATAAACCCTCTGCTCACTTGTATAAAATGTTGCTTGAACCTAAATGATTTTCCAAAAGCGATGTATTTTATAAGTAAAATGCAAGCCATTATACTGATTATAGCATAGCTTGTGGGGCAAAATTGGACAAAAAGACATTTCAACTTGGCAAATCTTTAAAGGAACAATAGTCATTTATGTCATTAAGAGTTATCTCTCTTATCAGAGTATCAATGGGGCTTAAGTCATGTCATATGGTAGGAATCATTTTTTTTCAAATCTGTTGTCAACTTCCTTTTTTTCTGAACTTGTTGATATTAACATGATAGTGTATTCACATCAGAGGGCGGGGGTATTATTAGTAAGCATTGGCTCACAGACTTCTTGTTTATTTCAATTGTATGGCCTTGTAATCAAAGATTTGGGGAATATTGTTTTTGCCTTGCCCATAATCTGTATGTTTGTTTGCCAAGACTTTAACTTTGCCAATAACTTTTGAATAGTTAAGGCTATGGCTTTCATATTTCATAGATATCAAACATTTTCACAGGTTTACAAAACAAATTCCATGCTTTAGATCATCTCTGATCAAGCAGTCTTATCTGAATCCTTTGAGAATTAGACGGCAGAACTGTTGGTCAGTTTATTGCATATGTTATTTGATTGACAGCCTTTCATTTTATTAATTTGGTAAAGTACTATAGATTAAGTTGTTAAAACTAATGTGATATAGTTTAATATGATGGGCATTTGACAAAGTCTTAACACAACAAGTATGGAAATCTATCAATGATTTAATAATTGTTAATAATTTAATTCTAGTTGTAACGCTTTATTTGATTGGATAAAAAATTATTTTATACTGTATAAAATGGGTTGCCTACGTAACAATGACTTGCGTCAGAAACGTATTAATCCGCCTGACGTTACATTCAAATTTTGTACAAATTGAAGTCATTTTGTTTGTACAATAATCGTTTTTTCTTACATTAGATGAATGAAAATTAAATTATAAGGAATGAATTTAATAGCTACCCATTTTATACGGTATAAACTGGGTTGGAACAGTTTACGCTTTTTTATAAACCGCTTGGCGGTTTATAAAGCGTAAACTGCCCAACCCAGTTTATACCGTATAAAATGGGCAGCTATTAAATTCATTCCTTAATTATTAATACCTACGTTCACAACAGGGGATGAATAAACAAATATTTTACATGATTTTCCTGCACTCTATACTGTTTAAGATAATTGTAATTTTTTGATGGGCATATCATGGTGTGGCATGGCACTTTATTGAAATTCATTGAATCTTTGACAATGTTGTTTTATATTCAGGTGACCTGTAATGTCTTTGGTCCAGTTGTTTTGAATAAAATTCTGTACATTGTAGAGCCTCCAGATGTCATCATCTATGACAACTCATGCAATCTCCACAATTACGCACTAAATAGAGACCCTGCATATTTTTCAAACACTTTGTTTGTTGTGGATGCTCTTCACTGGGATAACCATACAGGTAAGAAATGGAAATTAGACCTAGGATATATGAAGATGATTTGAAGATTACAAATATATGAGTCTCTGTGTGCCAAATTTCATTCTGATCTGAATTGTAATTTTGTAAATATAGAGATATTTCACAAACTTTTTGATCATCCTTTGTATTTCAATTATTAACTTCTTTATCATGTATATTAACAGCATGTTCCCAAGGATATAGAGCACATTCATATCCTCTGCTGAAGAATCTCAACACACAGATTGTGGAACAGAATAATTCAAAGTTGCGGAAGCTGAAATCATCCCTGTCATATATGAAGCCAGAGAATTTTATGAATACCTTAAAGTTTTTTCTGTGGTTTTGTAATTATGGGGTAAAGAGTAAAAGAAAAGGTTGATTTTGTTGTGAAGGAAAGCCTGTTTTAGCTCCATTAAGCTAAAGAGTCAAGTGAGCTTTTTAGATCAAAAATGGGTGATCAGAGCTTTACATCAGAATGTATTGAAAAGATTATAGAGGATTTATTTTGATATTAAAATTTGAGCTGTGAAGGATCTTTATTGTGCCAATGCGTGCTGTTAAATAGGACCTCTGTTTTTTACTGTCTCATCCAAAGAACTGGCAACTCTGACTTTCAAGTGCATGGCGAAGGAACAGTTGCTACCAATTTTTAATCAACTTATGTCATTGTGGGGCAGATATTGGAGCTCATGACCTCCCCATGCAATCACAAAGTAAGTGCTCTACCAAGTGAGCTACCATGAAAGGTCAGCATCTTGAAGATTCAAATTTGTTCAAATCATACCCCACCTCCCCCCCCCCCAACACACACTTTTGCTTTTAATCTTAGTGCTCAGGTGAGCAATGGCCCCTGGGCCTCCTTTTTATGTGGATAGTGAGTAAATATATTACATTATATTTTGATATAACTTGGATTGAATATTCCAATCAGGGGTATGCAGAATATGTTACTTTGTTTTACTCTGCAAGTTTGAGCTAAATATTACAAGTGTGTTAACTTTTCTGCATTTTTTGGAAACTTTTGTACAATATGATGCAAAAACATTTTACTCATGTAAGAAAGAATTGATTGAGGGAAGAATTTTTTGTAAATAAAGGACTGGAACAATGTGATAACCTGAGTCCAACACTTGTCAATATTTTTATTGATGATTTTGTGAAAATTTTCAACACTACAGCCACAGATCCAGCTCATTTAGATTAAAAGCCTATTGAGTTATTAACCACATGTTTTTTGATGCTGATCTTAATTATTCTTGTATCAGAGATATCTAGAGGTTAACATTAAATGTACAGATATTTTAAGTAAATAGTGACATGATTGGAAATTGTGTGAACTATTTTGATTTTCCTCCAAGTAAACATAATGAAATTAGTATTGGTCTTCCTATAATCATAAGCCATTTAGAAAGAACAAATAAGTAAAAATATTTGGGACAAGTGTTTAAATCTGATGGAAAAATAAAATTCTCATCAGAACAACTGTCAGAAAGAGATAGAAGAGCTCCAGATCTGTAGCTGCATTATGTTTTTAGATATTAGTTTTTTACCATAAAGCTACAGAGTACAGATCCTGTATTAAAGCAAAAAAGGTGCAATAGCAGCGCAATATTTTTTGTGCACTTTTAGGGAGAATTTCTTCACCTTCCTTAATTCTAGGCACATTATTGAACTGATCAATATATTGTTGTTTATACATGTACAATTGATTTTGCTAGATTAAAATTATATATTAGATAGTTGAAATTCACTTCAAGCTAGTTAATTGGCTGTATAGACAATTATAAATGGTTGGGAGGTGAATAAGATAAATATAATATTGCTAATCTGACGTGTGTTTTATTCACCCAAATTCCTTAATTGACATAAACTAATGATTGTAAATAATTAAGATAACGTTAATTTAGCCAACTCTTAATGTGAATATTCAATATGGAGAATTTTTTTTATTTGTTAAAAAAACAAAAGTACCTGCTTGTTATGCAATTATACATTGAGTTGACATATTTAAAAGTTATTGATGCTGCTGTAATTCAAAAATTATTTAGGGATCAATTGACACTTACACATGTACCACTCATATGAAAGAAATGTAAAATGGGTTGTTCTTCACTTACGTTATGAATCTAAGTCGTAGTTGTGAAATTGGAGCCTGTCAAATTAGTATGTAAACAGTCCATGCCCTATAATTTTGATTTTTTTTTTTGTATATTATATTTATTTTAAGAAAAGTTTAGTGCAGTGTACATACATGTATATAGGAGGATTAATTAATATTGTTCATGTTAATTGTTCAACATTTTACAAATAAAGACAGTAATGGGTTTAATTTTATAACTTTGTCTGTAAATTACACAATTTAAATTCTTAATTCATTAAAAAACATGTATTCCTTAGTGTTCTTTTTTCATTTATTTATTTAATATAACACTAATATTTTATGGGGGTTGGGGTTCTTTCCCATTGTGATGGTTTCTGCAGGTTAATTATATTTATTATATCATTGAATAATGTCCATCTCTTTGATTGGCTGAGATCCAACTATGTTAGAAAAATACTATGTTGTATTGACCTGTGCATGATTTTCAAGGGCAATACAAGGATTTATTTCCTCTACATCGATCAAAAAATAGATCGGGAGATTCCAAATTGATAAAAATTGTTTCAGAAATCTATTTGAATGACTATGAATATTTTCACCAGCGTATACCCATCACCATGGTCTGTATACCCATCACATGGGTATATATACCCATCACCAGGGTCTGTATATCCATCACCAGGGTCAATATACCCATCACAAGGGTGTACCCATCACAAGGGTCTGTATACCCATCACCAGGGTCTGTATATCCATCACCAGGATAAGGATTAACCATCACCAGGGTCTATAAACCAATCACCAGGGTCTGTATACCCATCACCAGGGTCTATATACCCATCACCAGAATCTGTATACCCATCACCAGGATAAGGATTAACCATCACCAGGGTCTGTAATACCCATCACCAGTGTCTGTATACCTATCACAAGGGTCTGTATACCTATCACCAGGGTCTGTATACCTTTTACCAGGGTCTGTATACCCATCACCAGGGTCTGTATACCTATCACCAGGGTCTGTATACCTTTTACCATGGTCTGTATACCCATCACCAGGGTCTGTATACCTATCACCAGGGTCTGTATACCTATCACCAGGGTCTGTATACCCATCACCAGGGTCTATATACACATCACCAGGGTCTGTAATACCCATCACCAGGGTCTGTATACCCATCATGAGGGTCTATATACACATCACCAGGGTCTGTAATACCCATCACCAGGGTCTGTATACCTATCACCAGGGTCTATATACCCAGCACCAAGGTCTGTATACATAGCACCAGGATATGTATACCTATTACCAGGGTCTGCAAATTTAATACCAGAGTGTAAATACCCATCACCAGGGTCTGAATACGCATCACAAAAGTTCCAAATCTTATCACCATGGTCTCAATACCGTCAGGATCATTATGGACTGTGTACCTATCACCATATTCTCTTTAGAGAAGTGGACAGGCTTTTGCCTTCATCCATGCCTACATCATCATGATGCGTAATTCAGGGATGGAGTAATTGTAATCAGCTGTAATCGATTACAGTTTGGCAAGTAATCATAAGTAATAACTAATCACCAATTTTTCTGATTACAAGTAATCGTAATTTAATCGATTACTCTGGAAAAAGTCCTGCAATTGTGATTACCTTTTGATTACTTTATGATTACTATTATTAAAACAAAGTTCATAAAATCAGATGATATTCAGTGCTATTTTTTCAATGTAAAAATTTGTTTATAAGCAAAAAAAATATTATAAAATTAAAAGCCGTATTTAGTTAGGTATCTTCTAATGCTTCCAGAGATGCTTATAAGCAGGTCCATTTTCCAGAAAAGGAGTAAATTATTTCTTTGCTATATTAATTAGTAATTTAAAATTACTTTAGCAGCTTAGCATTTAGCCATTTTTACTAGATACATGTATATACTGAAAGAAAATTTCGATCTACATGATCATTTTTTGTTTCATTCTTAAAACGTGTAATGCTACATTTTGATTTGAATAATTATAAATCTTTGAATTAACTAGTTTTTTTTTTTTAATCCAATGTTCTTTCATTGAGATGTGTTTTCGAAAAATGTTTGATTTCCAATGTACATAAAAAGATAAAGTGAATTAATTAGTGGTGAAACACAGGTATACATAAGTTAGGTCAGCTTGGGTAATAACAATTATTGAATTATCCGTGCTTGTCCAGTCAACTGAACTGAATTTATTTATTTTTTCACAATTTTACAATTGTATAGCGAGATATAAATGTAAACTACAATGATGCCAAACAAAAACATATATATGGTATGCGTGAGTATGAGGATAGACAAATAGTACAATTATATAGCTTTAGATCTTTGCTAGTTTGGAGAGCACGTTTTAGTAATTTTTTTAATAAATATACACAGTTTTCTTAAAAATGACTGATTATCTGAATTCATTATTTCTCTAAATGTAATTGTATTTTTGAATCGTAATTGTTTTTGTGTTAAACATTATTTATTTCATGTGTAAATGTGTTAATTAAAGTAAAAACGTCTAATAATTATCAGCTTGATTGAACTAATCACTAATTCAAGAAGATCAATTAATTGTGTAAAAGTTCTCTATCGAATCCCTTTATCCCTGTCTATAAGTATCATTATGTCCAGTTTGATATAAATAAAATCAATTAATTCTGATTTCATTTCTCTCAACTAAACACAATGTATTTACGTGTATTAAAGATAGAAATTGGATGATATAATATAAATCTCATGAATGCACCTATATAAAGACATGTACCACCAAACTTTGTATTTTACCTTTAAAATGTTAATGGTATCTAAAGAAGCAAGAATAAGAACATGCCGTTGTTCATTGAACAAAAAAAAAATAAATAAATAAGAAGAAGAAAAAAAACGTATTTGTAATCTAAAGTAATCATGATTACAGAAAGGAAAGGTAATTTAAAAATGTCTGTATTCAGATTGTAATCGATTACTTTTAAAATCCAAAGTAATTGTAATTTATTTGATTATTTTCAAAGTAATCCACCCCGTCGTTGCTGTAATTACACATCATCAGTGTCCTAGATTTATCAAGGGGTTTTCCCCCGCGACGAAATGTTTAATGACTTTAGCAGTTGGAAATATTATTTGACTGTATAAAACTGATGATGTTTTTATCATTCACTCAATTATGATAGAACAAACTGTTTTTTTCTGGACAAATTTGAGGAAATGTTGTTTAGATGTAATAAACCCATGGTTTATATAATTGAATGCAAAAAAAAAATTATTTTATTTTTCAACAAGTCCCAA